AGGGAAAAGTGCTACAATACAAATCATTGGTTTGACCCAACTTTATTCTATTTAAAATTCTCTTGTAATTTTTAAAGAAAATCATTTTTTTGTTTTTTTTTTTTTCAAACCAAATTGTAAAATTTAATTTTTATAGATGTGAATCACTGTGATAATATATGAATAATTAAATGAAGCATTTTATTTTCGGTTATTTAAAAACAAACGTTGCACACATTTTGTATTATATAGGTATATGTATATGTATGTATAGTCAAAATTTATAAGACGAATAGTCCAATTGAAAGTTTCTGTCATAGATTTCATGTTATATACGAGAACTATTCGATTTATAAACTCATTGACGATTTATCATCGTTTCGTGCCCTTATTGTATAACTCAGCCATGATTTCTATATTAGATTTTTAACAATAGTTTCTCATATGGGACTTATAAATAAGTGCTTGTTAATTTAAAATTGTAGTTAATTTATTTTTAATGTATAGATTTTAAATCAGAATGATTCCTACTTAGTATATATGGACTAATATTTCTTAGAATTGATTTCTTAAAATATTAATAACAGAGTAACTTTTCCTGCACTATACTTTTGCTTAGTAATAATAATAACATCTTCCATAATTCGTAATTTCTTTATCATGCAAAATATAGTAATTCTAGTGAATTTTGAAAAGCTTTTAGATAGGCAGCAACAAAACCAAAAACATTTATCAAATAATTGATTCCATAGGAAAACGCATTAATTGTTATTAAAAATTAAAAATAATTACATAATCCACATTTTTTATTTAAATTTTATTGCAATCAATCATAATTTTAACAGCTGTTTGATAAAATTTCATATCGACAATATTTTTTAATTCAATTCAAAATTATTATTATGTAAATTATTTTAGAAAATATCTCAAATTACAAAATAGAATTTTTAAAATAAAAGTGAAACTAATATTATTAATAGAGAAACAAAAAATGAACGTTGTTCTTCTCTTTGTCTATTTTTCAATTTTTTTTGGAAAAAACAAAAGGGAAAGTTAAAGTTATTTATGCTTGAAAAAATACATATGTATATAGAAATTTAATTCCCAAAATTCAGGAGCAGAATCTCAGGAAGAGTTTTTAATATTGTTTTTAATAAATAAATAATGAAAGTAAATATTAGGATATTAAGTATATTAAATATGGTTGAGTTATATTTATGTTGTTATAATAATATACATTAACATAAATATAACTTTTATAATAAATGCAGGATATATACAATATGTTGTGTATGTATGTATTTTAAGGTAAATAAGAGCTAAACCAATTTAAACTCATTTTAAAAGATAATGTATCAAGCAATAGTAATTTAAAATTAATGAAAATATTTAAAAAAAAATAAATTTATATATGTATGTATTCTACCTTTATTTATTACCACTTATGCCTTTGGTAATAAACATAAATACAAATAGGATTTTTTAATCCTAAACGGGATAGAAATCTGTAAAGAAATATGTACTAAGCAAAAATATTATGCGTGTATGTATTTGTGTGTATTTTGTATCATAATCTAATTTTATTTAAAAATATTTAACAAGAATATGATGTATGTAAAATTTATTTGAATTCTAGGAAGTTCAGAGCACCTACATCTATATAAACAATCAGAATAATAGTCTGTAATATAAATGTAATATTCGTATAGTTGAAATAAAATTTTCAAATATTTTAATCAGAAATTATAATCCGAATTACAGGTAAATTAAAATTATGTCATTGAAATAAATTTATATTTATACTTTTCTTTATCATATTGTAAAATAAGTCAAAAATCTAAATTCATTCAGTGGAAGTAAAACAAACACATGAATACGGTAAATTCAATATTGTTTGATTGATTAATCATTGCATATTTTACTTTATTTTTTAAAGTTAGAATTTCCTATTCGTACATAAGAAAATTTGTTTGTGTAACAATAACATACTTTTTATATGAATTTCAGAGACATTGTATATAAACATTTTAAATGCTCAACATCGTGCTCATAGGTATTTTTTATACCTTGCGCCTTCGTATACCCTTCACGAACTTTGGTATGGAGTTTGTTAACTAAACAATATATTGTGAAAATTTTAATGTGCAGGTTAGGATAGTTACCATATAACTCCAAAAGCTTATGTTGAATATTAGGAAAAATAATTAAATCAGATTAATAAAATTTTTGTAAGTCACGTGTCCAATTATAGGTCAGGTATATCCGTAAAAATTTTGTGGTATGGCTTGACAGTTTCGGGTAGCTGCTACACAACCATGAAAATTAATTTTAAAAGTTTTACAAGTTTTTATCTCCATATTGTAAAGGTGCAGGATATAATTCAGTTGGTTTAGATCGACTGAAACGTAATTACTCTGTTACATTAAAAATCATGTGTGACATTTGACTTATTCATTTGCTAAACATTTTACAACTATGTAAGCTTCTAGTAGTTATAGTCCCTTCAAAACTTTGAAATGGTTTTTCTAAAACCGTAACCTCTACGAGTCATTTAGATATTTGTAAATAGTGTATGCGTTAGAAAAAAAATTTTTTCCACCTCCACCCCTTCTCAAGTGATCACCCCATGAAATTAGGGAAATTTGAATTTTTGGCACCTTATATTTCCAAATTTCTATAAATGTAGAAAGTTAACGGAAAATGCCGAACCATTAAAAAATATCATTATTTTTCTTACCTCACACACTTAACCCTTAAAAATTCGAGCATTATGTTAACGCGTCTCTTTACATTTTTTGTTTCAAAGATAATTATATTGGTCATCCTGAATGTATGCAATTTTTAAATGTACTCGTATAGGAATTAAAATAATTTTAAAAATGTACTAACTACATAGATTGTTTTTAAAAGAAGTATTTTCATTTGTTAAAGGAAAAGTGGTACTTTACAAACCATTGGTTTCATTCAACATTATTAGTTGTGTTCGTACAGCGCACCCTCTGCTAATAATTTAAATATAAATTCCACAATTTTGTGCCTATTCTGATTTTAAATTTTCCTTTTATTTTAATGATTTAATTAACCGCAAAAAATTTTTCATTTTATTTTTTACAGCATTCGACTGCAAATTAAAAAATAAATTCTCATAACGTAGCTCTAAAATTTCTCCATTTCTCACAAAATATATAACAAATTTATATGTACATGTACATAAACATGAATACAATCTTTTAAATTATTAGTTTTAAAATATTATCGATCAATCAAAATGACATCAAATTATATTTTAAGACGGGGAAATTGAAACTTGATTCAAACTAAATATTGTGCTAAATGAAATCATAAGATTTAAAATAAAACGAAAAAATATAAAAGTTACAGAATAAAATTAAATTTTAATAAAAAAGGCACACTTGCACTCATTTATGTGCATATACATATATATATATATATATATATATATATATATATTTATATATTATATATATGTATATGTTTTGAAATTATAAAATTTGAGACCGAAATTCGAGAAAAATTATAACAAGTTGAATTTTACTGAAATGTTCGTGTAGTTTATGACATTTTTTTCGATAATCACACATTATGTGTTTTTGGTTTTATCTCTAACTAACTCATCATTACTTTTACCGGAAGACATTATTAAAACCGAAATTTATGACTTTTTTTTTAATTTTTAAAATTATAAACACAAAAATTCTGAATTCAAAATTATTTCCATAAGTTTTGTTCAATAAAATTAATTTGATTTTTGTTCCCAATTTGTTGCATTAAATTTAAAGCTGTTTTTTATCTTAAAAAAGAATCACTAATAATACAAATTTGCTTTTTATTTCTTTTTTTTTTTAATGAAATAAATCTGAAATAATTATGAATTTAAACTTGATTGTCGTAAAACCATATTTTTGCTGAATTTAATTATTTTAAATGGGAATATTAAATGTATACTTGTATGATAGTATTCCATATAGTAAATCACTACCTTAAATGATTTCTTAATAAATTTAAATAACTTTAAAAGATATGACACATTCATTTTTTTAAACACATATTTTTTTGAGTAAAAATTGAGTATGGCAATCTTAACACTTTTATTTTATTTATAAAAAATGTAAAACATTAATAATATTGTCAATTTTAAATATATAGAAATGTGTATATAGTGCTACATTTTCTATTAGAAAAGGGAATTTAAAATTTAATATAACTTTCCTATTTTGTAAAATCTTAAATTAATTTTAAATCATCATTTTTCTTTTTACTTAAAATTAAAATTAATAAGAAGAACTTTTTTGATATGCCATCAAAAAAGTTAATATAATGTAGGTGTTGACTTTTTTCTCTTGTTTTTTGTGTTAGTTTTTTAATTTCTTGGCACAAAATATTTAGATTTATAATATAACATACATGAACATATGTAGTACATTATAATCCTCACAATTCATAATAAAAGAAATAAAATAAAATAGATATTTTTCTTTCAACATTACTGAAATTTATCAATAAAAGCAAAACAAAAATTTTCACTTTAAAATTTTATAATAAATTCATATTTACATATTTCATATACATATTATATACAAACATACATATATGTATGTATATATATCTGAATATATTACGTATATATATGTATATTTTGAGTATTTTAAAAAATACTTGTTTAATATTTTATATTCTCATAATAATACGTTTGTATACAAAAATTTCACGTGATACAACATTTTCTCAAGGTTGCAAAGTGATTGCAACATGTTTGATATGGTTATAAAAATAAAAGTAGATTTTTATAAAGAATAAAACCAATTTTATCAACATACAAATTATGAGTATATACACAAACATATATACATTTTGTATATTAAATATTTCAACATAAAATTGTACTATTTATAGTAACTAAACTTATATATATATATAAAACATGTTAATCTAAAATAATAATCTATATTATAATATTTACATTTTTATTAAAGAAAAAACAAGTTTAAAAATCAAGACGAAATACATTCTGAATAGTTCGTGTATATTATTAAAGACCTTGTGATTACAAAATTATTAAATAAAAGTTGCCTTTACTTGCAAAATATTGTAGGCATTTATCATTTTTATAATATAAAGAGAAAATTACAAAAAAAAAAAAAAATAAGCAATTTAACTGCTGACTGACTAGTTTTAACATTAACAATTGCATACACATACATTTTATATATACATAATATTTGCATACACATATATGACTACTATTTTTCATTTGCCAACTTAAATTCAATAATTATTTTTTAATATTATTGCATTTCAAAGACATTTCTAATTTTAATTTTTATGTATATTATGTAAGTGTGTCATACACATGTACTAAATTATAACAACTACTCGTATATATGTACATTAAAAATATAAAAATAAATATTATCATAAATTATCAAAAAGCATGAAGAAAAACAGAAATAAAAAAAAATAATTAAAAATATTAAATTTTAACTGTTCTCATATATTTACAATACATACATAGTAGGTATATTATAATAAAATACACACATTTACATTATTTACGTATAATCATTAAAAATTTTTTTTTCAATTTTCTTCTAAACTATTAATTAGAACTTCACCACCAACTGGTCTTTCAATACCATCTAAACTTTTCTTTAAATATTCTATTCTAACGAAATAAATTTCACCTCCAGTTGATATTAGAACATGATTAACTAATGCTAATGGCATTTTATATGTAAAACTGCAAAAATATTTTTTATTAACTTTGATTTCAAATAAATCAGTTCTTGGTATAATTTCAATTTCAAAATCAGTATATGGTTCAAATGGTGCACCACCATATGTTTCAATTTCATGATATTTTCGTTGACCGGCATTATAAAATGATCTTTGTACTTGATCGATTGGATTCGATAAATTAACATATATATTTAATATTAAATCACAATCATGACGTTGATTCCAATGGCAATCTCCATTCATTAAATTGATGCTTGGTCTAAAAAATAATTTTAAAGCATTAAATTAGTGAAAAATTAATAAATATTATTTAATATTTAAGAGCATGCCAATCTTAACTAGTGATTCATTTCAAATAAATCACAACTAATCTACTATGGTTCGATCTTAATAATTTAAAATTATTTATATTAATCGAGAATTTTAAGATTATTTTCTCGAAATTAAAAATTTGCCGCATTTGCTATTGTTAAAAATGTATTTTTGAGCAAAATTTTTAATTGCTAACAACTTTAAACAGTCGCTCTCTACACATTATTTAAAAATAAACAAATTAATATTTACCCATAAGAATTTTCTCCACCAGTTATGCCTTTGACAATAACTGAATGTCCAAAATCTAACGTTCTTCTTATAGGTGCTAAAAATTTAACAGGTGTCATAAATTTTTTTGTATTATTTTGATTTGAATCATCCGATTTATTTAGTATGCTTAATTCTGGATAAAATATAATATTTGGTATATCTAAAATATGATCTTTTTTATTTTCCAAAATGTTTTCATTTGTTATATTTGATTTTGAACCGGTACCGCCACCACCACCCACAAATGTTGATACAGAACTAGTTTTACTAGTATTAATTATAGCTGTACTTTGTTTTACTGGATTTAATGGAATTACATTAAGTGCCGCAGGCTTGTTAATAAAATGAGTTTTTTGTGAGTAGTGTTGTTGCTGATTATCATTATTTTCGGGTATAGTATTGCTGTAAAGTTCATTTTCTTTAGTAATAGAATTTATAACATCAATTGAAACGGGATTTTCAGTAATTAATTGAATTTTATTAATTGATGTCGTTGTATCTGGAACGACTGGGCTTAAATATGTTACTTTCTCTGTAGTAATAGAATTGAGAGATTCAGTAGTTGATAATAATTGAGTATTTGTACTAATATCTCCGTCGGTCAATTTAACATTAGTAGTTCCCTCTATGTAGCCTGATATTGTTGAATAAATAGTTGAAGTACCTTTATCTGTGGTTTTAACATCTTCTTCATTTAAATTCAACTTTGTATTTCCTTCCATATCATTTGAATCCGTTGAACTTGAAGATGAAGTTGTTTGGTCCTTAGGTAGAATATTTTCCGTACGGGTACTGGAATCGGTTATCCTCTCTACATGTATTTGTTCTGTAGGAGACATTCCTTGATTTGTAGTACTAGTATTTTCGATAGTCAGAATATTCTTCATATCTTCTGTATTACTTAATACTGTTGAATCAGTATCTAAAGATGGGAGTATTGTACTGACAATATACTCTTTTCCTGTTGTTTTTTCAGTGTTGGGTAATTGCGTTTGATCAATAGGTGTAAATGGTGTATTTACAATTGTAATGTCTTCCATATTTTTTACCGAAGCAGTATCCACTGATTCTGTAAATATTTGTTCTTTATTCAAAACTGTTGTAGCTGTTATTGAATTAATCGCAGTTGGGTTTTCTGTTGACGTCACCGAAAAGTTATCAATTATATTTGGTGTGACAATATTCAAATTGAAGTTTAGAGAATTTTCTGTATTTACGTTTCTTACCATTTCTTTTGTTTCAATTTTATTGTGATCCCTGGTATGTTCCGGAACTAAATGAATAGTTATATTAATATTGGAATTTTCAATTAAAGTATTCCTGGAGTCTTGATTGATTTCAAGTGTATTTTCTGTAGTCGATTTAATATTATTTTCCATATTTAAAGTTTTCTCAGTAGTTTCTAAATTTAAAGTGGTTAGTAGAATCGGTTGCGTACTAATAATAACATTTTCTGGTAACATGTTTTCAGTATTAATTTGCTCTTCATTCGATTGTGTTATTACTAATGAATCTTCACTATTCTTGATTGATTCCATTGGAATATTTTCAGTAGTTTTGACAATACTTTCATCATCAACAGTTGGCTTGGTGTCTGTGGTTACTTCTACTAATCTAGGTGGAAATCTAGTTGAAATCAAAATTTCAGTTTCATTTTCAATTTCAGGAATATTGGTTGTTGTTATAATATTATCAATGTTACCAGAACTATTTTCTAAATTATTATCAACTTTTCTTCTAAATAAATTTGTATCTATATATCCAGTTTGAGTTTTAGTTGATTTTTCTTCATCTTCTGGTTCAATGCTTGTAATTTCATTAATATTGTTTTTATCAGTCGCAATATCAATATCAATATTTTCTAAAGCAATACCAGTTTTTTTTCTAAATTCACTTGAATTAATGTAACTTGTTTCAATTTTTGCTGCAGTAGTTCTAATATTCTCTTGATCATTTTTTTCATCATATAAAACTTTAACAGGAACTAATAATTCACCGTTAGCACCGGGTTTTGGAATAATATTAAATTCAATTGGTGTTGAAATTTCGGTATCAGAATTATTTTTAGCTGTTGAATTATCTTCTAGGGGTGCACAATAACAAGGTAGAAAAGTGAAATATCCGAAAAACATAAAAATAAGAATTGCGCGCGAAAAACTCATTTTTTATTCTTTTTTTTTCAAGTTAAATTTTTATTTTAAACCGATACGACTAATCAGAAATGCAAAAAAAGACTAAAGAATTTCTGGCGGAAATACACTATATTTATAATATGAAAATGTATAATATATTTTTACAAAGTTAATAATGAAAATAAAATTCAGTTATGTGGTTAAGCGAGTTATTAAATTAAATCAACATATTTTAGATTGTTTTTCTTTTGACTTAAAAAGTTTTCAGCCATATAGAAGCTGCTGCTTCATATATACAATTTTATATTTATTTTTAAAAAAAATTTAGCTTTACGGTAACCGTATTATACAATAAATAAAATTATAGATATTGGATCACGTAAAAAATGCTTATATTTTCATTAAATAATTTAAATAAGAAAAATCTGATTTTGGAAACTAAAGTTTGAAGAACTTTTATTTTCGTTTTATTATTTTTTTTTTGTTCAATCCACAATTATGTATACAATATAATTTTATATTGTAAGTAGTCCACTATGTAGACATCAACAAACTAAAATGTAGAATTCATAAAATTTTTAAAGCTTTTAAATATATAAGATAGGAAATGTTGAGTTTCAAAAAAAAAAAAAATCCAATTTCTTTATAAACTGTTATGGTAAATTATGGTAAAATTTATTGTAGACCAGTTAACTTAATAAACCAGTAAAACAGCAATGCTCGTTTTGGTAAAAATGTTTGTACTTTTGGTTTGATTCATTTTTAATTTTTTTTTATAATTTTTAAATACTATAATTCATTAATGCATTGGTACCTACATTATATTTTGTATATGAAAATGTCGTATATAAAACTAGCTCTTTAAAGTGTTTACATTTTTATTATATAAAATGTCGTGCAAATATTTTTTACTTTGAATTTTAGAAACGCGAATCTACATGCAACTATTAAAATTTGTAAATATATTATGTATGTATGTAAATGTGAAAAATAGAAAAGATCATAATGTTAAAAGGTAATATTAGTTATTGAATAAGTGGTTAGTACATATACGAGCTATGTATAACTGGAAATAACATTACAATAAATATAATAAAATAAGTGTATTCAATATCACCATATCATCTAAAAATTAATTAATGTAAATTGGATTTTGTAATGCGGGGCCAATGAAAAAACATAGTTTAGATATATGAAATTTTTATATTTTACGCACGTTTGTATGTATGTATATATGTAAGGAAAAATTTGCATAATTTTTAGTATACGTATAAAAAATGTTAAATTATTAGAAATTAAATTATGAATTAAATTCATAAAACAATTTTTGATAACACTATTTTAAAATATAAACAAAATCGGATCAAATCAATGGTTTGTAAAATAGCACTTTTCGCTTGAGCAAGTGAAAATACATACTTTTATTTCCAAAATATATCAAATTATATTTTAATTCCAAAATATATCAAATTATTGCATATATTTCGGATGAGAATAGCAAAAAAAATGAAAAGAGGCATTAACATGGTGGTCGAATTTTACTGCTATATAAGTAAGTAAATTAAGGTAAATAATTATATTTCTTGATGGCGTGGCTATATTAGTATATTACCGTAAGTTTTTTGCTTTCGTAAAAATTTGAAAATGCTTACAGTTTTGAAAGTATACTGTTCAAGTTTTACAAATTTTTAGAGCCGATTGCTTTGAAGGAGATGGAGGTAAAAGACAAATACTAAAAAAATAAATTACTTATCAAAAAACTGCTAAAAATTAAGACTTCTACATCATACCCTTACCATACTGAAAAAAACTTATTTCCAATTTTTATGTTATATGTTAAGTGTTAGCATTTTTGAGTGAAAAATTTATGTTTACGCAGCTTGTCGGATAATGAGATGATGTTCTATTAGAATATAAGCATGAATGTAACGTTCCTTTATTACCATTTTGTATAGCATATATTTTGGAGGAATTTCGAAAAAAAACTTACACAAGCCAAAAGAAATCAAAGGTAAAATGCAATGCGTAATATAATCATATATGATTTATATTTTCTAGTGTCGAAAATTGGTCATTGTTTAAAAATTTTCTTAAAGTTTCATAATTTTAAATATTGTAAATTAATATTTTTATTGTAATAAAATGACGTATTATGCATTTTACTTCTTCATGCATATTTATTAGACATTTATTTCCTTTATATATATTAGTTATCTATCTGTATATACCACAAAATTGTAACAGTGACAAAATAAATCCGCCACCGTAATATTTAATACGAAAAGTCAATTTTTTCATCCAATAATAATGATTGAATAAATTTTTTTCTATATGATATTCATATGGGTACTCATAGATTTTCCTTATTCTCATTTTTACTCAATATATTCGTGTGCAATAGGTCTATAATCCGCCTATATAAACGAAACAATATATAATATTTTTATACATATACCCTTATCAAATTATACACACCATTCGAGTTTAGATATTTCGTTCTATTTTATTTCATTCGGTATACAAAAATATTTTATGCTTATTTTATCAAAAAAACAATCACAACTAAGATCAACAAAAAAAAAATATTAGAAGAAGAAAAACATGAAGTAAAAAGGATAACAAGGACGTATAACTAACAAATTGTTAAATGCGTAAATGAAAATTGAATGATGGAGTAAGCTATAAAGAATGAAATGCTATAGCCTTGGTTATATGGTATAAAATTCTTTATTAATGCAGATGCAGATGTTTTCGCTTATGGTAGTATATAGCATTTGATTACCCAAAGTATTGCTAATATTTACTTTAGCTCAAAATTCAACAAGCCATTCTTATAATTTAAACAGGATACTTGACTTTTTACCATTTAAACATTTTATATACATATATATGTACAAGTATATACTAACTTCCAAATACTCCATGTTATGTTGGGAAATTTTTTAAAATGTTTATTTATTTACAAAATACAACAAGAAAACGAGGCATAAAATACACAGTCATATACAATTGTGTTTGTGTGATGGATATGCTTTGCGTATATTAACGAAGGGTAAAAAAATTGGTACATACGTTATATACTTATATCCCTATAATGCTTTACTCTTTATTTTTTGGAAAGTTGAGGGTAAATTTAGATGTTGATAAAGTTTTGTGTTTTGAAAATTAAAATGAATTTGAAAATAATAAAATTTTTAAGTCAAACGATTTAAATAGTATAGCTTACTTAATGTTGTATATTAAGTAAATGTGATCGCGATAATTTTGATTAAGTTTCTATTCTAGTACAATTAAGGAAGAGACGAAGAACAAGAGAAAGAATAAATTTTATTTTATAAAAATCAAAATTTTTTTAATTATAATAAATCTAATAATAATTTTAAAATTTTATTAATTTTCAGGTTCACCGGAGATGGCATTTATTCATGCGTTAGCTGCAGCAACAGTTACAAGTTTTATTGCACGTGCATGTAGAGATGGTCAGCTTGCATCTTGCGGATGTTCAAAAAGTTCCAGACCCAGACAATTACATGACGATTGGACATGGGGTGGATGTGGAGATGATTTAGAATTTGCTTACAAGTAAGTTTTAAAAAATTTAAACAAAAATTTAGAATTTGTTTGGCATATAAATACAATAAGTAATTATTAAAAATTAGGTACCTGTTAATCTTATAGTTCCAAAAATTCATCTACTTTTGCTCATCTTATATTTCCAAAAAAAACCTGCCTCCACTAAATCAAAAAATATTTTATATAACCAAATGGTTTCTGTGAGCAAGCTTTCTAACAAAAATATTGATTTTTATTGACCTAAGTTATTTTTAAGGTGAATGTTCTTTAAACCGTATTGATTTGCTCCTAATTTGTTTTGAATCAAGTTTAAATATTATATTAGAATATCATATACCGATATCAAAAATTTAAAAGCTTTAATTAGTGGCTATAAATTACATTATCTTTGTATTTCTATATGGGGGATATGCTCCATCTGATTTTCATATTTTAGGAATTTAAATATAGATAAATATTATATAAGTGTATATGAGTATTGAAGTTTACAATTTATAATAAAAAAAATGTATTTTAATTATGGCAATTCATTTACAAAAGAAAAATCTTTTAAAAGAGTGATTTTTATAAACAAAACATTTACTCACACCTTTCGTGACATCGAAGTTACTGTCTAGACGAAAGGTAAATTAATCGATCCGTCAATATAATGAATTTTGGGTGACACATTTCTTCTTCGTTCATTCCAATCAAATGAATCATTTTATAATAAAAAAAATGACAAACTAATACCTAAATAAGTTCGTGTATTTGTTTGTATGTACGTAACACTTGTACGTACTCATCGTGGTATAAGCATATTCATACTTCTAATTCAAAAGCTTACTAAAATATTTTGCATATTCTTTTATTTCAACGTACGTGTATATGTAGGTACTTGTATTGTTTGTATAGCTTACTTGTTGTGCATTTTATTATACACGTATAAAAATATATCACATTCAACAAGAAGTTAAAAAAAATAATAACCTTTTTTGAAAGTTCTTCATTTTAAAGGACTATTAGCTTCTACTAAGAAAAAAAAAATATCCTTGCAACTTCTAAACTCTAAAGCAATCATGCCATTAAATACTAATTATCTTAAAATTTGAGTAATGTTTTCGTTTTCGAATCATACACAATTTTTTAAACTTTTTAGATTTTGACAAAAAAAAAATAGAGGAAAAACGAGAAATAAGATTAAGGGATGTTAGATTGAGAAGTAAATTTTTTGGCTCTTTGCACAAATAGTATTATGAACCCTGAATTTGTTCAAAGCCTTGAAACCCATTTTTATTAGTAATGGGTGATTGTTTTAATATTTGGTTATAAAATTAGAAGTTTAGAAAATCGCCTAAAAATTTCATGTAAATATTGTTTAAACCGCAATGTGAACCTTGAATGTGTATATTTTGGCAGCAACTTATTATTAGATGGTCAATTGGGAAATTTTGAAAAAGCTTTTTGATCATTTTATCAGAATATCATTCTCCGAAAAGTAATAATCTAAAAATACATGATTTCTGAGATGAAGACGTGAAATTAATTGCTTATCGAATTGTCGAACCAAAAACTTAAATAACTGTACTGATCCGATTGACATTTGGTAAAAATAGAAATGTAGCTTTGATGGAGTTGGCCTGCTCGAAAAGTAATGTTGATTTTCTTAATATTGTCAATTTATTCCAATATTTCTCTGTAATACTATAATTTGTATATATTTGCAAAATATATAAATACTAAACAATGCCAATAAATTTCTTTGTACTCGCTCTGGCATTATTATTTATAAAATTGACTGTTAACCAAGTCCTTAATTTAATATTATATTTATATTTATTTTAAAATCCTTGAGAACAAAATGTACACATTACTAAAAATGAGTAAACAATAAAATTGTTAATATGCAATAATTTCCTTCCTTTAAATTTGAACTCCTGATACTGTAAAAGCTCAAACATACTACAAATAAATTGTGTTTAAATGTATATGTTTTAATGTTATATTCTTTATATACATATATATGTATATATTGGAAACAAGGATTGCCAACACTTAAAAAACTCTTTACGTTATTTCTACATAAGAAAATTTAATAAAGTTAAATGTAAAATACGCTTTATGAGCAATTATATATTATGTAAAGATAGACGTATTGTAATAAAATGTAATTGTATTTAGCAGCTCTTTTCAAAAATGTTTTCCCTACAGCAATTGAAGAATGTGACTATTTCCATTACATTTTACAATTCAAAACCCCAACAAATTTAACAAATTCGCAAGAGTGCAAAAAAAAATTTTGTCTAACCATCTAACATGATAATTAAAGAAAAAGTCGATAAGAGTTAAGCACATCTGGCAATCAATACATGTGCATGTTGAATATATTGTTATACCCATTAAACTATCCTTTTATTTCATATCGCGTTTGATATGTGAAAGAAAATACAAGATACAAAAGTGTATTTAAATTGTGTGCTTGTGCGTTTTTATTTTCTTACAAACGGTAAAAGGTAATTTAGTCAACAATAACAAAGAAACATAAGTGTGCAAGAAAATTGTCAACGGATGGGTTTATTCTAACTTTTAATTCAAAAGTCGATGTCTACTCTAAGGTATCATTAAAATATCAAAATCAAATAAAGAGGTGCTTTTAAGAGATAATAGCGGCCGCGTAAATTGTATAATGACACGATTAACTTTGTCAGTTTGAATGTTTTAAATAATTGCTAATGTTGACTCCGAATTATATTAAGTTCCCATATACATCAAACGTATGACAAATAAGTCATGTATACGTTTCTAAGACGAAACTATAGATTTTTGTGAAAAATAATCGAAATTTTCGAAATTTTTGAATTAAAGATTTTTTTCCAAACAATTAAGTGATCTGTTTACGATTTTAAGAAATTTATTAAATTAATTTCAAATGAAAATATTTTATTTGCATAGGCATAAATGCATTTATCTTGTTTATTTTTGTTTACAAAACTTTCCCATAGTAGATCTAAATTCATTTTTGTGTATTTAGTGTTATAAAGCAAGAAATAAATCTTTAACATCCGTTGAGTGAATAAAAAAATCCACGTGAATAAAAAAAACATTAACAAAAGAGTATTACGTACGTACCCACTCTATTAATGTAAAAGATTTGTTTAGATTAAAGGATAAAATAAAATTTGATATGACTTTTTGAAAATAATGATCAATCAAATTTAAGTTTCAGTGTCATAAAGAAAGCAATGACATTCTAAACAGAAAATTTAAATTTTTCTTATAATAAAAAATTTTCATATTTTAATGTAAGAATTATTAAATCTAATCACTAAGGCGCAATATTTAAATTAGTTAAATTTTACTTCAAATAGAAATTTATGTAAACTTGTTCTATTGCTACAATTGATTTTAAACGACTTGTATTTTCAAGAAAATCTCAATATGCGTGAATATTTTTAATTTTAAAACTATCTCAAAATTTTCGATGCGCTATATCATCCTCTACAACTTGATTATACATCATTTTAAAATTATACGTACCTTTACATTTTTGTTAGTCATAAAAATCTATTTGTTAATAGCAAATTTTATTTTGAATTATTTATAGTTCTGGATAATGTGAATTGAATTATTTGTGTCCATATATATGAGGATTTTTGGTGTTAATATGATTAAGGTTAAAATTAAACTAATGTAATTTTATGAAAATACGCCAGAGGCCGTATTAAATATTTTATCTAATGATATGATTTATTTATGTTATACGAGTATATGTATATGTATTCGGAATTATTTCATGTGTGAATAATAGGTATAGGTATATAACGAGAATAGGTAAAGTTGACTGTGCCATCTTTGTGATAACCGTACGAATGATTGATTTTATCATTTATTGTAACTGCCACACTGTTTCATACAACCTTGTCTATACACGTACGAACGTATGTTCGAAGAGTATACTTAATTTGCCTTACCGTTTGTACCGCTAAGAAATAATGCTCTGAGATATAGACTCAAGTGTATGTTTTTGATCAGCGTCGAATTCTGAGTTGATTTAGCTTTGTCTATCCGTCAGTCCGTCCGTCCGTCCAGCGATAACTCGAAAACTAATTGAGCTAAGTTCACCAAATTTTCACAAATGATTTATTGTAGTAAGTGCTACCCTATTTAAATTGAACAGGATCAAGGTACCGGTTCGGGTAGCTGCCCTACAACTTCAAAATTTATTTGGCTATATTTCAGAAACTATAAAAGCTGGGGTATTGAACTTTCACACAAACGAATATATTAGTATTGCCAAATAGTGTGAAAGTCGTTGAAATTACTTGGCTCCTTCTTGTACCTGCCATACAACTTCAAAAGTTATTTGGCTATATCTGAGAAACTATATAAAAGCAATGGTATTGAAATTTCATACAAGCAAATATATTAGTAGGGCCGATGTGTTTCATAAAATTCGTTAAAATTTCTTGGCTCTTTCTGGTAGCAGCCATACAACTTCAATAATAGTTTGACACACAGTATTTTGAAAAACACAACACTGAAAATTTGCATAAATTAATATTGTAGTACGGCAATTTAAAGTCATAGTCTGTCCCATAGTCAATTATGGCATATTTATTCGCACATAGAACAATTCGTACGGGTATCACAGAGTTGACAAGGTTAACTCTATTTTTCTCGTTTTTTATATGAATAGGACAATTTTATATACAGGATGATTCAGAAAGTTATACAACAACATATACCATTGGTTAGAAGATCGAAAATAGGTAAAACTTTTGTTCCGGATTGGGTGCCAAATCTCAAGGATTTCCGAGTTCCAGGGATTTTAACGAATTTTCACGAAATTTTTACTTATTCAAGGTTTTTGGATTATAACTTTCATTTTAAAAAAGATAGGAACTTCAAACAAACAGTTTCTGAAAACCCTAGTAAAGGGCTTAAAATAGACATGCTGCCTGATTCTCTATTTTATGTTCCTTCCGAATACTAAGCATTCGAACTTTAGGGAAAATTAAATTTTTCCCTTG